CTGCTTGACGAGCCTATATTGTGTATGTATGTGACGTCACTGAAGGCCTAAGGTTGAAATGCACGGCCCGCCACTGCTAAGCATATATTAATACATTTTGGTAGAGAGGAATATAGGACTACTGTCATATAGGTTATGTTATCGGGCATCCTTCTAATTCCCTTGAACAACCAAGATTGAACTTTTGAACTCTTTGTAATTTCTATTATCTAGTCCAGTTAAAGTCCAGGGGAGGAAGCCCCATCATAGTAAAGAGGATACTAATGTGATGTGTGTAGTTCTTCATAGCCTCTTCATTTTGCTCTCAAAGTGCACGGAATTGATGGATTTTTAACAGTATGTAGAAAAAAATTCTCCGGGGGGGGCATACCCCCGGACCCCCCTAAAGGGGCTGTATTCCCCTTGGGGCTAAGCCCCCCTTGTTCTTGAAACCTAGTGACGCCCCTGACGGAAAGAATACAGAGAATAATTTTGTTAACATATTTTTGAAAATAAAGTAACAAATTTATGTTATTCTCAGAAAAGTAACTCAGAAAAGTAAATTTACTTTTCTGAGAATGTTTAGGCCAGCAGAGAAGGCCTTGCTGGCCCTCAGGGCCCGCCACTGAAAGCAAACTACTACTGAATTTATTTTTTCTCATTTCTCTGTGGACAAGAGGACCACAGGGCCTGATAGAAGGCCATTGCCTGGTGGTCGTGGACCCCTGGGTTAAAAGGTATTTTAAAATGTCACTGACTGAGAATGTGTTCTTTCTCACAGGTACATGAAGTACCTGTACTCATATGAATGTGAAAAGCGAGTCCGCCACTGAAAGCAAACTACTACTGAATTTATTTTTTCTCATTTCTCTGTGGACAAGAGGACCACAGGGCCTGATAGAAGGCCATTGCCTGGTGGTCGTGGACCCCTGGGTTAAAAGGTATTTTAAAATGTCACTGACTGAGAATGTGTTCTTTCTCACAGGTACATGAAGTACCTGTACTCATATGAATGTGAAAAGCGAGGGCTGAGCTCCCCTGGTGAGCTTCAGGCAGCTATTGACAGCAATCGGCGGGAAGGCCGTCGGCAGAGCTACGGCTCTCCCATCTTCAATTACTCTCCTGTGAGCAACCCCACATTGCTGTCTTTGCCAAGAGTCGAACTTTCCCACTTACCAATATCCACTAAGTCCCAGCTTCCTGTGTTCAAGAAAGGTAAGATATACATTTTTTTAATTTTATCTGGTGATTTTTAAGGCAAACATTTAAATAATTTTTGACTGTGGGTTTCGAAGTAACCATTCAGCCCACATTCTCTGCATGTAACCCCTATAACTAGGGTTGCATTCCAACAGAGATGAAAAATGCGGGACTCGAAGTAAGTGGAGATGGGCGAGATGCGATAACATGGCTCTGTTGGAATGCTACTACTCAAGCAACCCTAGTCAGAGGGGTTACATGCAGAGAATGTGGGCTGAATGGTTACTTCGAAACCCACAGTCATGGTTGACCACGAACCAACTAGTATATCAGTGTTCCAACATCCACAAACGGCAATTGCTATCACAACTTGACATTGATTAGGTACAACACATATTCCATGGTGAAGGGCCCCAGGCTGTCAGATCAGAGGCGAAGGTGATACCAGAGATTGGGAGGCAAGCCCCAATGAATGCAGAAGATGAGATTGGGAGGCCAGCCCCAATGAATGAAATGCTGAGTGAGGCAGCGACTGACCTGAAAGATGGGCAACCAAGAAACCGATTACAACGGCTATGTGAAGTACCACCTGAAAGTCTCATGAAAATTTGAATGCAGCACTGAGGGCGATCCCAACTGTAATTATCACGGAAACCAATGAGCTGACATTCGCTTCAGCATCAGTGAACCTAGAGATGCTCGGCGATAAGAGCAACCATGGGAGCCATGAGATGCGTTACCCACCGTGGAAAAGACGGTTGGAGGCTAAGATCGAGGCGACTCGGAAAGATGTGAGTCAATTGACGGAGGCCTAGAGAGGTGTGATGAAAAGGCCGATATCATAGAGGTACATCCAGATGACCATACCTGAAGCACTCGGAATTGCCAAAAAAAGGCTCCAAGCCTTGTCCAGTCGCCTAAAGAGGTACATGAAAGAGAATGAGGCCAGACGAATAAACAGGCTGTACGCAACACAACCTGCGAAAGTGTACACTCAGTGGCAGGGTTCTAAGAGCAGAGCAGACCACCAAGACTGGAAACTGAAAGGTACTGGAAAGGCATTTGGGAGAAGGAGGTCGCACATAACAGCAGTGCACAATGGCTGGTTACTCTGAGAGAGGAGCACAGCAACCTCCCTGAACAGAACCCAGTACCATAACAGTGGCAGACATACAGGAAAGAGTCTCAGATATGAAAAACTGGAGAGCACCAGGCCCGGACATGGTTCACACCTCCTGGCTAAAGAAACTCACAGCACTCCATGAGCGCCTAGCAGCACAAATGAACCCGTTGCTGAGGGATGGACTCACCCAGGATGGCTAACCAAAGGGCGAACAATCCTGATAATGGAGGATCCCTCAAAGGGTACAGTCCCATCCGACTGTCGGCCAATAACCTGTCTCTCCACAACATGGAAGCTCATGTCAGGCATCATTGCGGCTAAGGTAAGTGGACATATGAATCAATACATGAACGAAGCACAGAAGGGCATTAGAAGAGATACCAGAGGAGCCAAACATCAACTCATGGTTGACAGAACAGCTGCACAAGACTGCAGGTCCCGATTTACCAACCTGTGCACAAACTGGATTGATTACAAGAAATCCTATGACTCGATGCCACAACATGGATCACTGAATGCTTGGAGTTGTACAAGGTGAACAGGACCCTAATCGCCTTCATTGCGAACTTGATGAGCATGTAGAAAACCACACTTGAAGCCAATGGCAAGCCACTTCCATCAAATGTGGCATATACCAAGGTGATGCACTCTCACCACTGCTGTTCTGCATAGGACTGAACCCCCTAAGCCAAGTAATCACCTAGAGAGGCTATGGATACCGCCTCAGAAATGGAGCTACGATCAGTCACCTCCTC